CTACTCAAACAATATTGGCAAAAAAAAAAAAAAAAAAAAAAGATCCGTGAAATTTGATTACATCATTTATCGTGAAGTCACCGTTTTAATGTATATATCATTGGGTTGGGCCGAGTCAGAGCGGGCTGTCCAAAAATATCTTTAATTGTGTTAGGTAATGTTCTTAGGCTTGCATCTGCATGTCCCAATCCCAAAGTGGGAATTGATTACGGAAGAATCGTTTCGACACTCACATCACTCATTAAACACATGTTGTACGATTCAATAATCCAAGCATCAATTAGGAAAAGGGTCGGCTCCTTATTTTGCAATTATGTACAACAACAATACTCATGCCAGACATTTATTTCGGAAATACTTAAATATCTATATTAACAAGGTTCGAGAGAGGTTAACAAACTCGAACTTGCCAAGGCGACTTCAAGATACTGCAAATGGCATTCAGCTTGTAAGGGAGTATGTTCAATTTCCATTTGCCTGCACGATTGAAATGCTTGTTAGCTGCTTGACATTAAAGAAATTTTTCTCTTGTTAGCAATTATGTACCATAACCCATCAAATAGCATTATCTTGTGTTGATTGTTAAAGAACAAGCACAAAGAACATACCCCATTGGACCCATTTTCATTTTCCTCCGATAATTCACCCTGCAAAAAACACAAGAAATGGGTGGCAATAAATGTCAGTTGAAATTATTCTTAATTGGAAATTCAATAAACAATTAATTGTTAGAAATAAATCATTGGATAAAAAATTAGATAACAAAAATTTCATATTTTACAGTTTAGAGAATCCAATTTTAATAGTTAAAATTGTACAAATAATGCCGATCAAAAAAAAAAAATGTACAAATAACTTTTAAGTATGTAAAATAGATAATCTTTTTTTTTTTTTCTCAAATTCATTTTTGATTTGTAAAAAAGTCTTTCAAGTATCAAATTTTTATTTATTGAAATATTTATTAGGAGTTGCGAGAAGTAAAATTAAAACGGATGGAAGAAATATATACATCCTTGATGCTGATTTTGTTAAGGGATGCAATGAGATGGTCCTCCATCAGTTTAAGTTGTTCTGGGTCTTCAACAAGAAGTGGGTTCTTCCAAACCCTAACAAATTAAAAATGAAATCTTATTATATATATTTTTTGAATCCAAAACATCAATCAAAGGATTTTACAAACATGTCATGAAAAAATCAAATCAATTTTCAATAGATGAAGATCATAGCTACCTCAGTATTTTGGTCTTCGCTTCAAGCTTTCCATTCAGCTCATTCAATTGTTCTTCTCGCAACTATAAAGCAAGTTTGTGTGTACATTACCCAAGCACCATCAAAGAAAAAAAAAACCATTATTTTATAGTTTAAATTGTATTAGGCAACAAAATAATATAAATCATTGAATTGTAAGGATAGTTTTCAATATTAAAGAATTGTCTAATTTAATAATTTAAATTAAGTATTAAACTGCAAGATAATTTTTTTTTCAAAAAGGAGGAGGGAGGGGGAGGGGGAGAAGTATCATACTTTGAGAACTTCACTTCTGCAAAAATGAAAAAACAAAAAAAAATAATGGTAAGTTGCTGGTCCAAATGCATACAAAGATGGGTGGGATGGATGGTTAAAAGATAATATTACCTGTCAGTTAAGAAGCTTCCTGGATCAGCCTCAGAGTCGGATTTTGAAAACATTTTCTCCACCAACTTTCCCAAACACCAAACAAAGGAAAAGTTCAAAAGAAATGTTAAAGAATATGTATGGGGCAAAAAGGAATGGTACCCGGAAAATGTCTTACCCTGTTTGTGTAGGCCCTTCTGTTACAAATTTAGAAATATAAATCAATCATTAATCCCACATCCAAAAGCCAAAATTTCTTTAATTAACAAGAGATTTGCCAATGTTTGTGCACCTTTCTTCTCGTTGTCCCACGGATAATGATGATAACCTTTCAAGAACAGTGCTTAACTCCCTGTAATAACACAAAACCAAAGATTAAATTACTAACATTCTTTGATTAAGACCATGTTTAAAGTTGTCTTGGAAGAGGAAAAAAAAAAAAACAAATCATCAAAACTGAGTTAGAAAAATAAGTACTTGTCCTGTCCAACCAAAGCTACAGGCTTCTCTGTGGGGGAGAACAAAATAAGAGCAAGGTCTACGTCGCAGAGAATGGCAAGTTCCTTTGCCTTCTTCACAAGACTTCTTTTCCTCTTTGAAAATTTTGCCTGCCTTGCCCTCATATCTTCCAATCTTCTGATTTTTAGCCTTCTCCTCGCCATCCTGCCTCCCTTTTTCTTCTTCTTCTTCTTCTCTATGTGATAAATTATTCTCTTCTTAGCTTGGTTTATAAATGCAAAAAATGAGAAAGAATTAGTTAGCAGAATCTGGTGGTTTTATTGCTAATCTCATTGGATTACAATGTAAAGCACTTATAATTGATTACTTCCTATTTTAGGGACAAATTAAATAAAATTTGCTGTTTTAAGAGTAAAATATATATTTCATCTATATAAAGTTATAATGTATTCTCTATGTAAAGTAATCATAATTGCACAAAATGCTTGCATATTAACTTTACATAGTTTTTTTTAGAGGAGATTCGTTATATTAAATTACGTATGCTGATTTTAAAGATCGATTAACTCAAATTATTCATAAAAAATTTAATAATATTCTTATCGTATCACCACGTGTTTATTATACCAATTTTTAGTATTGTTCTCATAATACCACATGTTTATAACAACTTATATAAGTTCTAATAAAATTTTTGTGATACTTCATGTTTGTAAAATACAGTACTAAATTTTGATAACATTCTTATATTACAGTGTGTTTGTAAGATACGGTATTATTCGATTATGATTGTTCAATTCATAACACTCATTTCTTTCATATTTGTACCATTTTGTTTTTGCCATAAGAACTAAGTTGAGAATAATTTTTTTTTTCTAACATATGTTTTTAATAAATATGTTTTTATTGTAAATTTATATTAAAAAGTAAAAGTTGACATTTAATTTATTAACTATTTAATTAAATTTATTTACTTGATATTAAAACTAAAATCAATGTTAATTTTTATATTTATATATATATGTTAAAAAAAAATATTATGACACAAATTAAAAAAATCCAAAAAATAATACATCTTATTTCATGAAAAAGGCAAATTCTTTTTATGGTAGGAAAGGACAAAATGAAATAGAAAAAGCTGGACTTCCAAATTCGGAGGTTTCCAACTTGGAAATTTCCTAATAAAAATTAATTAAATTAATTGAATAAAAACATTAAAAAAAAGTAAAAAAAAGGAAAAAAAATCCAGCAATGGATTGTGGATACCCAATTTGGCTAACTTTATCACTACTTTATAAATTTCAAAATAAATACACATGGACCAAAATTAAAAGGTAAAGCTGCAACTATGTACATAAAAACTGAGGGTTGGAAGATTCAAAATTTCAAATACAAAATTTTCCCTCAATTTCCCAGGAACCAAACACAGTCACCATCACCGTCGCCTGGTCTTCATGTGCCGTAATAAATATAAAAAATATCAATAATTTTTTTTTTTAAAAGAATCCAAATATATAATAAATTTTTTTACTCCTTACGTATTGGCTGAAATTCGTACTTCATTGTCTTCCTCTGGCATTAGTCAGGGCGGGAATCCAAAATATTTAACAGTTAGCATGTCCCTCACAGTCCCTCCCTAGGGTTTCTCTGAAACTTCCGAAATCTCACGGTCGCACACAGTTCATTAGCCATTGCCTTCCTACGCAACCTTCTAGGGCTTTGATTTTGGTTTCATCTCCATTCCTGCATTCTAGCTCCTGAATTCACCGGAGCCAAACATGAAGTTCCGGAAGGGCACTAAAGTGTGGGTGGAGGACAAGCATTTGGCCTGGTTAGCGGCTGAGGTCGTCGATTCGTCTGGCAAACAAGTCCAACTCGAAACCGCTTCCGGTAAAAAGGTGAGGAGTTGTTTTTATTTTTCATTTTTGAACTCAGCCTGTGTTTGGCTGTTTTAGTTTGGAGTTTTAAATTTTGTTTTGGCTGTTTAGTTGTTTTCTGCTCCGGAGAAGTTGTTTCCGAGAGATGCAGAGGAAGAGCATGGAGGTGTTGATGATATGACAAAGTTAACCTATTTGAATGAGCCTGGCGTTCTTTATAATCTGGAGAGAAGATACGCTCTCAACGATATTTATGTAAGTGAATTCCTGACAGTACATGTAGCTGAAATGCTGTTAATTGCTTGAATAATAGAGATTTTATGGTGTTGGTGCCTGAATTGTGATAAATCTGTTGGAGATATTAGAATAAAATTGAGCCGAATTATGTTATACTGTTCCAGTTTTATCTGTATCTGTCGTGTATTAAGTGATAATGATACGAGCTTAAGTTGAAGTACTGTAGTTAATAGGGAAGGAAAGTCGTAATATAAAGTAGAATATCAGGATTGGGTACTAAAGTTGTAAAACAGCACTTAAATGGTACTAAAATTAAAGGGAGAATGTCGGCACTTAAATATTTGATTAGGTATTGTAGTTACTACTTCATCTGTATCTGTTTTGTACTTTAAAAGTGGAAAAACTTAAGTAGTTGTCAAATTGAGAATACTAGCTCATGTTGGTGTCTGGAATTTCAAAGTATAATATATAGGTATTCTTATAATTTTAATTTTTCAATGAAATTTTCATTACCTCATAGAAAATATATACATATTATGAGTTCAGTGGTGATTTAATGCTCATTTGTCACTTCTATAATAAATGAATGATAATATCAATGAGAACAGGTTGTTTAGAGATTTCATCTGCTTTAAAGCTGATTATTTGAATATTTTACCGTTGGGAGGCTACCCATGTCATATGCTGCCACAATCCATGTGCCATGTGTGGAGTGTGATTTTTCAAATTTGTTAAGATACTTATTTCAAACTTCCTGCTTTCTGAAGTTAACTATACATAGAGTTGCTTTTGGATCCTTTTGTAGACATATACAGGAAGCATCTTGATAGCCGTTAATCCATTCACAAAGCTTCCTCATCTTTACGATATGCATATGATGGAGATGTATAAGGGCGCTCCTTTTGGGGAGCTGAGCCCCCATGTTTTTGCTGTGGCTGATGTATCGTATAGGTCTGTGATCTTTTTGCTGCTTTATACATATTGGTATTAGTGATACAATTTAGTCACAGCTTCTTTTGTGTTTTATGACTCAGAGCAATGATTTATGAGGGTCGAAGTCAGTCTATACTGGTCAGTGGAGAAAGTGGGGCTGGGAAAACTGAGACAACAAAATTGATTATGCAGTATTTTACTTTTGTTGGTGGCCGGGCTGCTGGTGAGGATAGAAATGTTGAGCAGCAAGTTCTTGAAGTAAGAGTTGCACCCATTTTGTCTGCAGTTCTTCTTCTTCTTCTTCCCTTTTTTTTTTTTTTATTTATTTATAATAATTTTTAATTTTTAATTGGCAGCTAGGAAGGCAAGCTTTATCTTGTGCAGATTTTTGTTCTTTATTTTTTATTTGGCTTTTTTGGATTAAGCACCTTGTTTATTTATTTAATTTTTCTTTCAAGTTCATTTGAAGCTTGGTAAATGAGTTATCTGTTTATGTATTCTCTGGATGCTTATTGAATTTGCTTCCATATTTATCAATTTGACTCTGATTTTGCTTTCTGCATGATTCAGTCCAATCCACTATTGGAGGCATTTGGCAATGCTAAGACAGTTAGAAATGACAATTCAAGGTGGGTTCTAGTTTTATTTTCCCTTTTAAAGCAAACAGTATTTGATCAGCTTTCAGCTGTAAAGTTCTAAACTTGTTTGGTAGTTACATCCTTAGTTATTTTGACACTTCCTTATTAAGGGGGTGACTCTTTGATGACTAATCTTATGAAAAGGAGTTTTAGTTCCAAATTTTCATCAGATAGATAAAGTTTGTAATGAAGATCCTTGATGTGATCATTCAAGGGGTCCTAGGATTGGATTTTATTACAAAGACTTATAAACATCTGATGTATACTTGATATTACTGCTTATTAAATCTCTCTGGGAAATATAGGATATATATATTTAAAATGAGAAAAAAAAAAAAACTTTAAATCTAAATAAGCTTTATCTTTAGTTCTCTTTCAGATATGTGAGATAATTCCTTTTGGAGAAACATTACAAGCATTGTTATGTAATAAGTTCTAGGATAATAAAGGGTAGCTGCTGATTGGAAAGAAATTATAAGAATATTCCCAAATAAGCTTCCCCCTCTGCTTATTCCCTTTATCTTTGTTTTTATTGCAGCCGTTTTGGCAAGTTTGTTGAGATCCACTTTGATGCAAATGGGAGAATTTCTGGTGCTGCAATCAGAACTTACCTTCTTGAAAGGTCCCGTGTGGTCCAGATAACTGATCCTGAGAGGAATTATCACTGCTTTTATCAATTGTGTGCATCAGGAAAGGTAATGGATCAATCTGATTGCACCTTTTTTCTTTAAATGCAGCTCTATTTCTATCTGTTTCATGCTTTGTGTCATGTATTTAATATGTATATAAGATTTTTTACTCAGCTTTGGGTTTGTTTGCATCTGTGTTTATACCTTGTGCTATGTCAACTTTGGGGATTCTGTGTTATGAACATTGTTTTCAGTGCTCGTGTTTCTTCTTTGCAGGATGCAGAAAGATATAAATTAGCCCACCCAAGTCAGTTTCACTACTTAAATCAAAGCAAGACATATGAACTGGATGGAGTAAGCAATGAAGAGGAATATATGAAGACAAGAAGGGCAATGGATATTGTTGGCATAAGTCATGAGGATCAGGTTTTAAAATCTTATTCAGTAGCTCAGTGTTTAAAAATTATACATTGGCTATTGCACTTAACTATCTTTTATTTGGATGCTCATGGTAATCTTTTGTTATCAGGAAGCCATATTCCGTGCCTTGGCCGCTATCCTGCATCTTGGAAACATTGAATTTTCTCCTGGAAAAGAGCATGACTCTTCAGTTATAAAGGATCAGAAATCTAGCTTTCATATGCAGATGGCTGCTGATCTCTTCATGTAGGTGATTCTATAAGCCTAGTTCATTCTTAATCAGATTTAAAAACAACTTCAGTTTGCCATAACTAGAAGAATCATTAATTAGATGTTAAAGTTTTTATTTTATTTTATTTTTTTCATGGGGAAAGAAGTTTTGAGTAACATCAGAACTTACAATTGGGAATTTTAAAATTGCTTTTAGTTTGATAAAGAGAAAGTGGGATCAAATTCATTGATGAGCATGTTGACATTGTTGAATTTATTAAATTTTGTTCCATATTTGAGTGATAAGCTTTTTGCATGGACTTAGAAACTTTGGGATTAAGAATGCATCCCTGTGATATGTAATAGTTCTCATTCCATTCAGGATGAGATGTGCTAAATCTGAGATGGTAAATAGCTCATTGAGGACCTATTATGCTTAGCATATCTAATCAGTTTCC